CAGGAATGATCTCTTGAAGGAAGCAATATTTGATAGGTAAGTGGATTGAAGCCTGAGCATATGGATTGTGTATTTGCATACAGGAGGGAAGCAGAGTAATGAGGCAGAAAGTAGAAAATTTAAGGCTTTAAAAACGAAACCCAGAAGATGAAAACTTCATGATATTATCCAGGGAGGCTCATCCTCAGGTCTTACAAAGATTATGATATTACCGACTAAACTCAACAAAAGAATTGGTTAATTTTGGATAAATGTTCAGATATTATTAAAAGGAGTCATTCTAGAGTTTAACAAAGTTTTCAGAACATCTAGGCTCCTCACTCTATAGGTATAGACATTGAAATCACAGCTTCCCCAAAGTCACATATCTGTATATCATCAGCAGATGAGGTAGGGTCCAGAAACAAGGAACCTTGAACCTCCATGCTTCCCCCATCAGAGCATCGATCATCACAATATGCCACTTTGTAAAGAGAATAGTTGCAATGTTATAAGCAACAAGAATTTTAAAAGAAAAGCAATACCATTTAACTGTTTCAAGTTGCCAGGAGAAAGAGTGAGAGAGAATACTTCTAAAATAAAAGTTTAATTAGGTTAAGGAAGATGAGAATATATGAGATCAGGAAACTATTTGCCCTTTCGAAACATAAACAGGCTGCCTTGAACTCCAGTTTTTGCCATATTAGGGTTTACTGGTACATAATTACATGTCCTTGCCAAATGACAATCCATATTTTCTGTGCTAATTTGAGTTGATTCTGTTATGAAGAGGATGTCTCTATCACACAGGAGAAAATAGGACAGACAAATTTTTAAGGCGAATTTTAAAGCAAATAGTAATCTCAGTTTATGTCTCTTGCTTTTTTGCTTTTTCTCAACTTCATTTAAAAGTAGTAAGAACAAGAACTTTAATTCAATTTATGTATGAAAGCTACTCTTAGGCAAATTAAGTCTGATTATTTTCTTTAGCAATATCAAAATGTGAAGGTTGTTATGGCATATTACACTATGAAACAGTCAACAATATAATGATTAAAATATTCCTACTTCTCATCATGCTTATAGGGCTTTAAAGCAATTATCTTATTTAGGGCAAGAGATCTAATTGCCTGGGTTGCCTTGGACAGAAAGCACAGTTTGGTGATGGAGATTACTGCTGAATCATGGTTATATTTTATGTGGGTAGTGTGAGCATGTATCATGAAGATAAGTTTTAACATATTTCTACGTAAGAAGAGAGTAATTATTTCCTCAGTCTCAGCACAATTCCCCTGATAGGGCATTTTCTCATAATGACTCATTTAAAGTTTGCAGGCATAATGATGCATGGATATGGCCATGTCACCTCTTTTTAACTCTTCCCCAAATATCTGTCTGGCTCCAGTGTCAATGTTGTGTTTGAAACCTGCACAGCCATGTTTATATCATCCTATCTTTATAGTTCAGAGCAGAGAAATTCATGGTTCTGATTCACAGGTATTACTGTTTTGCTACAATGTTCAAATAATGGTCCACTAAAAATCTTCTTGCAACAGAAAGAAGTCCACTCTCCTACTATCAAGGTCATTACTGAAATCAATGCCTTCAGTTTAAAAGCACAGAGATGCCATCTAGCAGCCACCCTCAGAAATTCCCTACACAAAAACAGTCCTCCCCTATAAAATTGAGCAATAATTAAATTTCTATAAGCTTTCAGTGTTGGAAATTTTGCTTATAGAACAATAATTTGGCATATTGTCTATAATTCAAACACTCCATTACAAATGAAATTAACTGACATCTCTTAAAATAGGCAGTGAAATACATCTGAGTTTTCTAAAAAGAACCGGAAACTTACTAATCATAATTTAATTAAGAAAACATTTTACACAAACTTTCTAAAAGAAAAATTGATCATCTGTCTCTACAAAAATACAATTAATTAATTATTGTCAATTGCCTTTCTTTTTGGGAAGAGAATACCAATCTTGGCAATATTTTGATACAGTAAATGAGAGAAAAGAAACTAAGTACATGCTAGAAGTAAGCTCATCCTATGAACAATGAAACTTGGGCTATTTAAAAAATTTTAAAAACAATATTGACTTTCAAGTAACTTATCTTACCATAAGATGGCGATACTTAAGCACTTTATAAAATGCCATATAAGACCTATAAGCTTCAGTGACAAAAAAAAAAAAAAAAAAAAAAAACAAAAAAAAACACTCAGCATTATAAATGTAAACATTATATGGTCTTCCATGAAACAAAATTGGCACTGTTGTTAGAAAACCCAGTTGTCTTCAGATAAATTAATATATAAGAGGTGCTTTCTAAGATTTAGATTTCCAGTATTTGATATATGTGAAATCCTATACCTTAAAAAAAATCCATTCAATTTTAAGAGCTCTTCTATTTTGCCATTTTGTGCTTATTAATGTGATATGTGTGTGTGTGTGTATATATATATATATATGTGTGTGTGTGTGTGTGTGTATTTGTTTATAATAAACAGAAAGTATAACAATATAGAATAATAAACTAATTTGAAAATCTGATTATGACATATGTCACTCCTAATGTATTAGTATGTAAAAAAGCAGCTGGTTAGCATTTCTGTTCATTTAAGTTTTATCACAAATCTTTTCTTATTTGTCCAAAAACTGTATTTTTATAGTGCTATATTATTGGATTTTTAATTTCACCAGATATAATTTGCTTTACGAATCCTGACTTTTAAAATCTAAGCCCTTAAATGACTAGCAGAATAAAAATAAAATTTTAGAAAATTCTTAATTTATAATCTAATTGACAATTATTTTGAGGACACAATGATGCCATCTGTAATTTTTTTGGAGGATGGGCAATATAAATATATGTTATATAAATATATAATATAACACAAAAGCAGATTCTCTTTATTTTTAAGCAGTATTTTGTCAAAAAGTCTCAAAACTTTTTACAACATTAAAATTACCTATTTTGAACATTTTAAAATTCCCTGTAATGTCTATAATGTAGACAAATATCATCTTTTGAAGAAAAAAACCATCGTTTGTTCTTTGTACACTGTATTGCAGTATGTAGAAGCTGAGAAAGATAGTTTGAAAAGTTAATGTATGCCTTCCCTGGATTTTTCAGCTCATTTGTGGCAAGGTACAGTTCATTTTGAAGAAAGTAAAAAGTTTCATAGCACTGAATACACACAAATAAACTCACCCAAACTAGAAAAGATTATATTGACCAAAAGTTCATTGCTTATTTTAAAAAATTGTCTCCATGTTTAACAGAAAATTATCTATATGTTTAATTTTGGAAAGAAAGGGGTGCAAGCAGCGAAGATATTTATGCATCAAAGATACCAGACAAATCAAATCACAAATAAAATTGTTAATGAAGCTTTACATTTCTGAATTTATTTTAAAGAATGACAAATAAAACTCAATTTAAGTCAAGGGACTTTTTCTGCAGTAACTTAGTGATTACCTTTGCTTTTTAAAAAATGTTTTACCAAGAATACTCTCAAATGAGATATATAATGGAATGTATTTTAAAGTTTTAAACAATATCATGTAAAAAGAGTGGCATTGGATAGAATGTGTCACTACAGGGTGTAGAGTCAGGAAGAAAAAATATTGAAAAGCAAGATCAGCACTTTAACTTAAGTGTAAAATGCTTTAAAGTTACATCTTTAAAATATTCTTTTAAGATTATTAAGACGACATTCACATAGTGTGAAGCTTTTACATCAATAATACCAGTACTTTCAAAGCTTTAAAATAAAATGAGTTTATTCTCATCAGTTCCCTCTAAAAATGAAAGAGTACAGATATAATTACAAATATATATGACATGATTCTAAGTTTTAACTATATACTATATTAGGCCTAGAAATATCACAACCACAGTATTAAATTATGCTTGGTTACATCTTAGTTCTATTCAGTAATAAAAGGAAACTTAATTTATCTACACTACACACATGATGTAAAGCTTTAAAAACAACTTTATAATATTCCAAAATATAGCTTTTATTAGTTTTACAGCATGACATCATTCTTCCTATAGTGTCAAATTGCTGTTGACCAGTTAAATAAGTAAAATAATACATTGCATCTCTTACTCTTTTTTCACCAGATGGCTTATCTCTTAATTCCCTCTCATTATGATTTTTCTTAGAATGCTGAAGCTTTCAAATTACCTCACTTTGTCATCAAGACTTTTCTCAGACATCATTGAAAATATTTGTCCACATTTGCCTGTCTTTTTATCAAAGGAGTTTAGCGTTCACTTTAATTGCCAGTACTAAATAAATTTTAAAGAGTTCAACATTTATGAGCTAACTCATCCTTCCTATTGCCCTCCTTAGTTTGTTAAGATTCTCACTTCCTGTTTCTTAACACTGGTAATCAGAACTTCCTCAGTGCCCACTATTTTCTTAAGGAAAAGAAAGAAGCAAACACAAGCTCCTTTCACCAACGCCTCTCAGCCATGGCAGGGAGTATAGCTCTGCTGCTCTGCCGTGTGTGTTATAAGCAGCATCCCAAATGTTTTGGACACAAACCGCAGCACGTCTGCGATGGGAGTATTATTGACCAGGATCAGCTGGAAAACGCTTCCCTGCTTTCAACAAAGAAACGGTTCACCATGTCCTAATACATGTTTATAAATTGCATTGTTTCCACTCGCAAACTCCTTTGAATTACCAGTCTGACTTAAAGAGAGCATTAAGCAGTTGGACACGGAATAAGCTAAATTCCCCGGAGAACCGCATTGCTCGCTGCCCATGTACATTTTATTTTCTCCTGGTCCCTCCCCCCCTCAGTAGGACTCTACCTTGAGGAGCTAGTCCTCCGGTAGTTCACCTTGTTATCTTCTAAGCAGTGGGGATACGCCAGGCCCCTTAAGGTAGCTGAAAGAGCTGTGTCTCGTGCCGATTTTGGCATATTTATTTGCATTTTTGGCAGGTTTGTAACATATTGCACGTTTATTTCAAAAGAGACTCAAAATATTGTTCATACCTTGGAAGGGTCTAATCCAGCAAGCAAAGACAGCAGCAGGAGATTGAGAAGGCTGGACGTCGCCCGCATTCTGCTCTGGGTTTTTGCCCCCTCTTTACTCTCTTTTATGTAGGCACTCCACTCACTGCAGAGACCTTTCCCTCCTCAGTTGCACTTTCTGCCTGCCAGTCAGAGCAGAGTGGAAGCAGAGGCGGCGGCAGCAGTAGCAATAACAGCAGCAGCGGCAGCGGCGGCAGCCGCCCTGGGGGGCGATCATTCCGCAGGCATTCTCAGAGCTAGGAGTCCGGGAGCTCAAGAGAGTGGGTTGGGCTGCAGTGGGCGCTGGCCGCGGTGCTGAAGCTCCTCCAACCTGCGAGCCCCAGTTTACCCTCTCCCCCGCGGCTATGCAGCCAGCCCACCTCAAAAGTTTTGACCCAAGGAATAGATAAAGGGAGTAACTGCTGAGAGAGGTGTGGAGACCTGGACAACGGATATGACATCACTACAGCTCCTGGGGGTTTCGGGGGGATATTTTGCGGGGAATTTGTTAGCCAAACAAGGATTGACTCTCGCGCTCCAGTTCCAGTTTGCCGGCAACTTGAGCTGCAGAGTAGAGTCAGCTAAATACAGGATTATGAAACAAATAGTGCACTGGAACCTTCTGCTGTCATTGACAGAGGACTTGATACCGTATTTAGTACTTTAAACAAAGTTTGCAGTGCAGACTATCAGTGTGTGTTTGTCGTCCAAGGCACACGATTTTCGGCTGTTAGAGATGAATGTGGTAATTTACAGATGTGTGCAGTCATTTATGAGTAGTCTATTGAAATTGTATGTTTTGATTAGGTATTAACGTATCTATCTAGGGATTTTGGTCATCTGAAAACACTATGCGTAAATAAATAAAGAGGCTTATATTCTTCTTTTAGTTATAAATGGTATATTCCATTAGCGATCCCCCAACTGAAATATCTTCACCCCCACCATAGACACAGCCATATCTAGAAACATAGCTTTTCTGTCAGTCTGACTTGTGCTTTTACTTTAGGAAGAATTCACAGATAGATGGATACTGGGATGGGAAAAGTGATTATTTCTGTTTTCAAATACTTCTGTAATCTAGGGCTCAAGAAAAGGTAGAATAGTTGCCTCACAAGAGCAAAGACAGGGTAAATGGCAAACTAACTCTCTTACCCTGCATCATTTAACTTTACTTGAGCAATTTCATTTCTTTGAATATAGAAAAACTAAGTGTTCTCAGAAATATGAAAAGTTAGGTAGAATTTGGCAGCCACTCTGAAACATCCCTCTCGTAGAGTTATGTCTTTAGTATTTCCATCTTCTGTTGATTTTTCTAAAAATTATACTTTCTAAGGATTAAAATATATAAACTGGAGCTGTGGACATTGCTTTCTTTTACTTCCACATTTTTAAATACAGTAAATTGAGATATCAGACACATACCGAGTACAAAATCTCCATCAAACTTTCATTGAAAGTACATCCATTTTTAAATATAAGAAATCTCAATTAGGACTCAAATACATTTGAAAGTTATTGTCCCAAAGAATTTACACCATATTGCATCTGTTTTTATCCTAATATTATAAACGTGTGTATAGTTACTCGAGGTCTTTATTTTCTATAAACATAAATGGCATTAAGTTCACTATATTTAAAAATTCTTTCTGAAAAAATGGATCATGCATAAAACAGAGATTGTAAAATCATAGAAACGAAGTGAAATTTCTTATGATGCTGTTAATTTAATGATAACCTTAACAGTCATATTCATATTTAGAAGTTCCCATTATTTTCTAGCAGAAAAAGAAAAAGAACTTTTTTTTTTTTTTGAGGGGGCTTGTAACAGATACAACTAGAGAGTTGTACCACTCTTTGGGATAACCTAGAACATATTTGTCAAAGAGTTTTTTTTTCTTTTTACATTTGTTTCTTTAACCTAAACGTTTTCTATCTATCTACATCTACATATTTATCTATCTATGTATCATAAAATAAGCATAATTTTTCAATAAATTACACATAGAAATTATTGAAAATTCAGCATCCATTTTAAAATCTTTCACATGAATATCGAGATTGTAAATGAATTTGCAGAGGTGTTGTGACTGAATTATTATAATAGTGTATGTTTATTATCCATTCTCTAAATACATTTTTTGTTATTTTTATTTACACGTGCTATTCCCTCTTCCCAAGATGTCTTTTACCATCTTTTTTACATCTCTTCCTCTCAATTAGCAGGCAGTACCTCATAGTTGTTTGAGTAGAGGTAGCTGTATTTAACAGACACACACAGTAATAAGAAAATATAATCAAATCAATTTGATCACTTCAAGATAAACAGGTATTCTTATAATGTAAATACTATGTTTTTTTTCTGGAAACAGATTATGATCTCATACATGGTTTACAATATTAGTGACTGAAACAAAACTTTTATGTGGGCATGGTTTTGTTTCTTTTTAACTCTCCTTTAATATGGCATTGGAATGTCATTTGTAACAAGAAGTTAATAAGGACAAATTCTATGAAACTTTGTCAGAAAAATGTGATGGAAGATGATAATATTTAAAGATACAAAATAAGTAATATATGGTAATGATGTTACAAATGAAAACAGATGGTCTTAGCATACTTACAACATATTTTCCATAAGAGAAGCTTAGTCATTTGTGAAGAATAATCAAGTTCAGTAATAAATCAAAGCTGTATTAAATACGCCACTACCAAACAAAAGCTTTAATCTAAAGAGTACAAATTCACCAATACCCTACCATTACTTTATCTCTCTTCTAAAATAAAACCATACAGTTGCATAATTTCTCTTAAAGATAAATATTTATTTTAGTTAGTTATTTGTTTTGTAACAAAACCCTCTTATAGTATATTTTCATACAATCAATCAATTTGACAGCATTGTAGATGACATATCTTATTTGTACATTGCAATCTAGGGAGCATTTCTCATTGCAAGAAAAAAAGTCCAAGTAGTTCTTTGTATCGTGCGTCATTCATTAGCTAGTCAAAAGAGTTCTACTAAAAGTAATAAATGTGCATCTTTCGGCTTTGGTTTTCACTGTCACTTCAGATTGGTAAATGTAGTTAACTTAAAATTATACAATATAATTCATAACATAGATTTAAAAATCTTGCAATTTTAAATGTATGGATAAGAAAGTATTTGATATTTATATGTCTAGTCAAATTTGGCCTTCTATGCCTACAATGGGTACAAAATTACTCTGAATTTTATAGAGCATTACAAAAATTTTAGCCAGTAGTATCTACAGAGGTATTCATAAAAATAAGCTTATATGAAGTTGTGGTACAACACAACACCTAGAACAAATGATAAAAATTTTAAAATGTTTGTGTCCAATGTTACAAAAGTTCTTAATTCTATATTTGGTCATAGTGTTAGGTAAATGCTTTATGCATTTTAGTTTTCTTTTGATAAAAGACTGTATGATATACAGTTGACCTTTGAATAATGTAGGTATTAAAAGTGTTGAACTTCTGCATAGTTGAAAATTTACAAATAATTTTTGACTCTCCCAATTTTAACTACTAAGAGCCTACTCTTGACCCAAAAGCTTACTGATAACATAAACAGTTAACATCTATTTTGTGTGTTATATGCATTATATACTGCAATTTTACAATAAAACTAGAGAAAAATATGATTAAGACAATCATGATAAAATATATTTATCATTTATTAAGTGAAATTGAATAGTCATCAGCATCCTCATCCTTGTCAGCATTATGTTGAGTAGACTGAGGAGGAGGAGTCTGTTCAACTCAGGGGTGACAGAGGCAGAAAAGATGTAAGAGATGGGAAGGAAGACAGGAGATGCAGGCACTGTTAGTGTAAGTTTACAGAAATATGTCATAATTCCTGTCTGACTTTTTACTTTTTTATTTCTCTAAACATGTTTATTTTTTAGTGGTTGACTATGTAGTACTGATCTTTCTTTCATCCTTTGCTTTAATTTCATTGCCCATGTCATAGAAGGGTCCATGTCACAAAAGAAGTCGAAAGTAGTCTTGAATAATTGGAATCTTTCTGCTAGATTGTCTAACTCAATCTATTTTCTGACATTGCTTCTTCTATGTCTTCCTCCTCATTGCCTCGGCACTGGTTTGGAATTACTCATCTCCATCAAGTTACCTTCTTTTAATTCCTCAGTTGTGGTACCTGTTAGCTATCGAACTTCTCTAAGATCCACACCTTGAATCTTTTTACCCCTTACTTTTTTTTATTTTGCCGTATCTACAGTATCTTTCACGATTTCCTTAATTGACTCGGTTGTAAATCCTGTGAAGTCATGAACAGCATCTGAACACAGTATTTGTGCTTGATGGCCTTCACAGCTTTTTCTTTAACAATGGCATCTTTAAAGGTGTAGGCCTTCTAAACTTTGATCAAGCTCTATCAAAGTTCTCTTCGATAATGTTGGTAATCCTTTCTATAGCGAGTGTGAGTAATGTGGCCATAAAGGTCCTTATGATCCCCTAATCTAGTGGCTGAAAAAGAGACATGTTTGGGAGCAAATGGACCACTTGGATGTTTTCAGTGTTAAACTTTCGGGGTTCTAGATTACCAGAGACATTGTTTGATATCAAGAGAACTTTTAAAAAACCAGTCCCTTACTGACAAGGTATTTCCTTTCTTAAGGGGCAAGACATTTACGGAACCAGTCCAGAAAAGGGGTTCTCATTGCCCAGGTTCTCTTAGTGTACAACGAAAAGACAGGCAGCTGGTGTTCATGTTTTCCATTCAAGGCTATGTGGTTAACAGCTTTATAGATAAGAGTAGTCCTGATCATAAGCCCGACTGCATTTGCACACAATGGTAGAGTTAGCTTATCTGTTTCTACCTTAAATCTCAGCACTCCCTTCCCTTCCTTATTAATAAATGTACTTTGTGGCTTTCCTCCCCCAGAATAGAGCACTTTTGTCTGTGTTAAAAACTGGTTCAGGAAGACATCTTTTCTCCATATAATTTTCTTAAGGGTGTCTGGAAATTTGTCTGTTTCTTCTTGGTCAGCAGAAGCTGCTTCTCTTATTATCTTGACTTTTTTTTTTTTTAAGCCAAACCTCTTTCCAAAGTTATCAAACCATCTTTTGCTAGCATTATATCCTTCAGCTTTAGATCCTTCATCTTTCTTTTGCTTCAAGCTGTTATATAATAACTTCACTTTTTCTGGAATCACATTAGAGTATATAGGTATGCCTTTCTTACAGGAGTCCTTACATGTACATAAAAGGTCTTTTGCAAAATATGTACTTTCTGGCATAGCTGGAATGATGGCTTCACACATTTTCTTTTCTTGTTTTTATAGTGGTCCTTACACAGAATTCATTTATGTTAAAATAATGGGCAGCCACTGCTTCAGGCCTCAATCTGTGGCACAACTTTCTCTTGTAATGTCATGAATTTTCTCTTCTTCTTGGA